GAACTCAGCATTGTGCATTCATGAATAACACTTTAGGCAAGGACCTTCTGCACACGTACTTGGTCTTGTTAGAATTTCTAGAAAAGGGGCCTGCCCTTCTGCAGTGTGGGGATAACGGTTAGATTACGTTTTGTTTTGTTTTGAAACAGAGTTTCTCTCTTGTCTCCCAGGCTGGAGTGCAGTGGCTCCATCAGCCCACTGCAACCTCTGCCTTCTGGGTTCCAGCGATCCTCCTGCCTCAGCCTCCCGAATAGCTGGGATTACAGGCACGTGCCACCACACCCAGTTAAGTTTTGTATTTTTAGTAGAGACGGGGTTTCACCATTTTGGCCAGGCTGGTCTCCAGCTCCTGACCTCAAACGGTCCGTCCGCCTCAGCCTCCCAAAGCTCTGGGATGACATGTGAGCCACCGCGCCTGGCCAGATTAAATAAGTTTTAATGCACACAAAACCTTTTTTCCAGGAGGCAGGTGAATAACTCATGGTAGAAGGTGGTTGGTCAGATAGCTTGGTCTGAAGTTAGGCTAAACTCTGCCCTCTGATAGCGCTTCACTTTGGTCCTAATTTGCTATCTGGGCCTGGGGTCTGGGGATCAGCTGGGGTCAAGATTCAATCAGGCTTAGGACTCAGGCCAAGTTGGGGCTCAGCTTGGGATCAGGGATCACTCCAGGGGCAAGTTCTTTTCTTTTTTTTGGAGAGAGTCTCGCTCTGTCATCCAGGCTGGAGGGCAGTGGCATGATCTCGGCTCCCGGGCTCAAGCAATTCTCATGCTTCAGCCTCCCAAGTAGCTGGGATTATAGGCTTGTGCCATATCTTGCTAGGTTTTTTTTTTTTTTTTTTTTTTGTATTTTCAGTAGAGATAGGGTTTTGCCATGTTGACCAGGCTGGTCTCCAACTCTTGGCCTCAGTGATCTGCCTGCCTCAGCCTCCCAAAGTGCTGGGATTACAGGTGTGAACCACTGTGCCCAGCCTAGTCCCGGAGCAAGTTCTAACCAGGATCAAGGGTCAAGGTCTGGGTTTGTCCATCATCATAGGCTCAGTCAGGGTCAGGGTTCAGCCAGGGATCAGGGCTCAGCTTGGAGTTAGGGCTGAGCTTGGGGTCAGGCATCAGTCTAGGATGGAGGCTGGGACCTGGGGGTCTTGGTCCAGGATTGGAGTCTGTGTCTGGAATTAGGGTTCAGTCTAGGATGTGGACCGAGCCTGGGATGAGAGTTCAGTCCAGGGATTAGGGCTTAGTCTAGGATGGGGACTGGGCTTGGAATCCAGGCTCAGTACAGAGTGGGGGGCTAGGCCTGGGATCAAGGCTCAGTCTAGGACAGGGGCCTGGGCCTGGGACTCAGCAATCAGTCTAGGATGAGGGACTGAGCTGCAGATCAGTGTTTAGTGCAGAGTAGGGGGCTGGGCCTAGGATCAGGGCTCAGTTGAGCATAGGAGGCTTAGCCTGGGATCAGGGCTTAGTCCATCATGAGGCACTCAGCCTCAGAACACACACTGTCTCTCTGTGTAGGTGCCTGTGTCATGTAAGGCTGGACTGAGGCTCAGTTGTCTACTGACTGGCAGGGCGGTGCCTGGGCAAGACCTGGCAGCTTGTTTACCTCCTGACCTCACCTCCCCAGCTGCCGGCCCTTCCTCCCCAAGCCCCACGTCCCTCTCCAGATCCCCTTTCTGCCTGGTGACCTCCAGAGACAAAAGGCAGCCGCCTCCCCAGTCAGTGCCTTGCATGGAGCCTCCCGACACTGTCCTGCTTCAGAACTGAACTGTAAGCAAAGGGAAGGGCCGTGGGGCCCCAGCACCTGCCACCGTCAGTCCCCGTCTCCTGCCAGCCCTGCCCTCCCTGGGGTGCCCCCGCTTCTCAGGGCTGATACTGTGCCCCTCGTGGGACACCTGTGCTGCTCACAGGACGCCTGTGCCCCTCATGGGACGCCTGTGTTCTCATGGGACACCTGCATTCTCATGGGATGCCTGTGCCCTCATGGGACGCCTGCATTCTCATGGGACGCCTGTGTTCTCATGGGATGCCTGTGCTCTCATGGGACGCCTGTGTTCTCATGGGATGCCTGTGCTCTCATGGGACGCCTGTGTTCTCATGGGATGCCTGTGACCCTCATGGGATGCCTGTGTTCTCACGGGACGCCTGTGTTCTCATGGACACCTGTGACCCTCACGGGATGCCTGTGCCCTCATGGGACGCCTGTGTTCTCATGGGACGCCTGTGACCCTCATGGGACGCCTGTGACCTCATGGGACGCCTGTGACCCTCATGGGACGCCTGTGTTCTCATGGGACGCCTGTGTTCTCATGGGACGCCTGTGACCCTCATGGGACGCCTGTGACCTCATGGGGCGCCACCTGTGACCCTCATGGGACGCCTGTGTTCTCATGGGACGCCTGTCTCAGCTGGGATGCCTGTGACCCTCGCCCAGGATGCCTGTGTTCTCATGGGACGCCTGTGTTCTCATGGGACGCCTGTGTTCTCATGGGATGCCTGTGACCCTCATGGGATGCCGTGGCCCTCATGGGATGCCTGTGTTCTCACGGGACGCCTGTGTTCTCATGGACACCTGTGACCCTCACGGGATGCCTGTGCCCTCATGGGACGCCTGTGTTCTCATGGGACGCCTGTGACCCTCATGGGACGCCTGTGTTCTCATGGGGCGCCTGCATTCTCATGGAACACCTGTGCTCTGCGGGGGACGCCTGTGACCCTCATGGGACGCCTGTGTTCTCATGGGACGCCTGCATTCTCATGGAACACCTGTGCTCTCATGGGATGCCTGTGCCCTCACGGGATGCCTGTGTTCTCATGGGCACATGCGCCATCATGGGACGCCTGTGTGTGGCTGCCACGGTTACTACTTGAGACTGTCACTACGACAGTTACTACTGTGACTACTTGAGACCATCATTACAAGACTGAACGAAGGGACAAATGTAGAAATGAAAACTTAAGACAAAAGAAACTGTTTTAAAGGAAGGGGCCAGGGGAAGAAGAGAGCTCCCTGCTTCTAGTGAGCAAAGACAGCCCCCCAAGCTTCCACAGCCCTTCGTATTTATTGGGTAGAAAGAGCAGGGAGGAGGAAACGATTGGTCAGCTGCTTGATCGATCACAGGTTCACGTTATTGCTAACAGGCTCCAGATTTGCCTATTTGCAAGAAACACTTGGCCGGGCGCAGTGGCTCAAGCCTGTAATCCCAGCACTTAGGGAGGCCGAGATGGGCGGATCACGAGGTCAGGAGATCGAGACCATCCTGGCTAACACGGTGAAACCCCGATTCTACTAAAAATACAAAAAACTAGCCGGGCGAGGTGGCGGGCGCCTGTAGTCCCAGCTACTCCGGAGGCTGAGGCAGGAGAATGGCGTGAACCCGGGAGGCGGAGCTTGCAGTGAGCTGAGATCCGGCCACTGCACTCCAGCCCGGGCTACAGAGCAAGACTCCGTCTCAAAAAAAAAAAAAAAAAAAAAAAAGAAACACTTGTGCCTGGGGCGCAACTGCCCTCAGCATTCCTTGTGGGCGGCAGATGCAGTTTGTCAGTTTACCAACATCCTGCTTTCGTGAGAACAGTTTGCTGTTTACTCATATTGATCCTATGTACACTGAGTTGATCATGACCCTCATTCTTTCGGCCTTCAACACCTGAGCCCTCATGGGACATCTGTGCCCCTCATGGGATGCCTGTGTCCTCACGGTACACTCGTGACCCTCCCAGGACACTTTACTGGTAGAATTAGTTCAGCTGCCCCCACCCTGAGGCCAAGGACACCATTGTCTCAGAAAGGCTGAAGACCGCAGGCTCCTGGGGGGACAGGGGGCAGGTGGGGTCTCTCAGGACCCTGGTTGGTGGTAAGTGGGCCTGGCCTGGGGGTGACTGCGGGTGGAACGAGGCGTCCAGCAGGGACTTATCCTGGATCCTGCTCACACTTCTGGGGCCTGCATTATTTCCCAAACCACCCTATACCCCAGGGCCTTCTGGATGAGGATGAGTGGGGGGTCACAGACACTGGGGGAGCTGGAGGGTAGAGACTCCACAGTCCATCCATGACAGATGATGTCCAAGCCCCTACATGCCTCAGATCCCAGGGCAAGGCTGAGCCTCCCTCCTCAGACCCCAAGGCAGGGCCTCGCCTCCCGCCTCAGACCCAGGACAGGGCCATGCCTCCCCGCTCAGACCCCAAGGCAGGACCTTGCCTCCGCCACCAGGGTAGGTCTGAGCCGCCCCCCTCAGACCCCAGGGCAAGGCCAACCCTCCCCGCTCAGACCCCAGGCAGGTCCAAGCCTCCCGGCTCAGACCCAGGGCAGGCTGTGTCTCCCCCTCAGACCATAGGGCAGGACCTCACATGCCCCCTCAGACCCCGGACAGAGACATACCTCCCCCTCAGAATCCAGGGCAGGTTTGAGTCTCCCGGTCAGACCCCAGGGCAAGGCCAACTCTCCCCGCTCAGACCCCAGGCAGGTCCAAGCCTCCCCCTTCAGACGCAGGGCAGAGCCTGCCTCCTCCCTCAGACACGGGGCAGGGTATGTCTCCACTTAGACCCACAGCCACCTCACCTCAGGCTGAGTCACGATGAGCCGGCTTCAGCAAGGCCATGGGGGTGGGGTCAGTAAGTCCCTACTTTTCCTATGCACCTCAATCCAGGTGGGGACTGCCCTGGGAGGCCACAGCTCTGCTCCCAGCAGGGTGAGCTCAGGGGCAGGAGAGGCAACCATGCATCCCAAAGTGGGGGCCTGGCCCTGAGACCCTACCAGCTTGTCCCTGGGGCTCCCTCTCCCTGGAGGTACATGTCCTCCCATGGGCGGAAAGTGGGCCTCGGGCTGCCTCTCTGGGCCTCAGTTTCCCCTCCTGTGATGCATCAGGCTCCCTGGGCCTCAGTTTCCCCTTCTGTAACACATCAGGCTCTCTTGGCCTCAGTTTCCCCTTCTGTAACGCATCAGGCTCCCTGGGCCTCAGTTTCCCCTTCTGTAATGCGTCAGGCTCTCTCGGCCTCAGTTTCCCCTTCTGTAATGCATCAGGCTCTCTGGGCCCCAGTTTCCCCTTCTGTAACGCATCGGGCTCCCTGGGCCTCAGTTTCCCCTTCTGTAGCACATCGGGCTCCCTGGGCCCCAGTTTTCCCTTCTGTAACGCATCGGGCTCCCTGGGCCCCAGTTTCCCCTTCTGTAACGCATCGGGCTCTCTGGGCCCCAGTTTCCCCTTCTGTAACGCATCGGGCTCTCTGGGCCCCAGTTTTCCCTTCTGTAACGTATCGGGCTCCCTGGGCCTCAGTTTCCCCTTCTGTAACGCATCGGGTTCCCTGGGCCTCAGTTTCCCCTTCTGTAACGCATCGGGTTCCCTGGGCCTCAGTTTCCCCTTCTGTAACACATCGGGCTCTCTGGGCCTCAGTTTCCCCTTCTGTAACGCATCAGGGCCGATAGTGTATAATGCATCAGGCCCTGTTGAGGGGATCAAGTCGGATGAGTCGGTGCTCGAGGCCATGCAGGCACTTGACATTTATTAAGCACCTGCTGTATGCTAAGCCTGCTTGGAGCATCTGGGGAGACCTCAGTGGAGCAGACGAGTCTCAGGGGTGATCAGGGTTGGCGGGGAGGAGTCGTCCGGCTGCAGAGGGGTGGCCCATCCTGAGTGGAGACCCATTTCCCCTCTGTGACTGACAGCTCTGGGGCTCCCTGCGGGTCTCTGGCTTTCGAGGACAGGAAGAGGGCAGCCAGGGTAGAGGTCGGGGTGGGGGGGTCTCACAGCTGGGGCGGCCCCAGCAGGTTGGCTCCAGGATCCTGGGTGGGGGCCGACCGTTGGGGTGCCCCTCCCTGTCCTCGGCCTTACCTCCACCCTGGAGGGTACCTTGAACATAACAGGAAATTTCAAATAACAGGAAACCAAGACCAGTAAGTTGGGCGGCTCCACCCTGCCTCGGGGCCTCAGTCAGCCCCCGGGGGAGGCCATGAATGCCACGGGGACCCCGGTGGCCCCCGAGTCCTGCCAACAGCTGGCGGCTGGCGGGCACAGCCGGCTCATCGTGATGCACTACAACCACTCGGGCCGGCTGGCCGGGCGCGGGGGGCCGGAGGACGGCGGCCTGGGGGCCCTGCGGGGGCTGTCGGTGGCCGCCAGCTGCCTGGTGGTGCTGGAGAACTTGCTGGTGCTGGTGGCCATCATAAGCCACATGCGGTCGCGACGCTGGGTCTACTATTGCCTGGTGAACATCACACTGAGCGACCTGCTCACGGGCGCGGCCTACCTGGCCAACGTGCTGCTGTCGGGGGCCCGCACCTTCCGCCTGGCGCCCGCCCAGTGGTTCCTACGGGAGGGCCTGCTCTTCACCGCCCTGGCCGCCTCCACCTTCAGCCTGCTGTTCACCGCCGGGGAGCGCTTTGCCACCATGGTGCGGCCGGTGGCCGAGAGCGGGGCCACCAAGACCGGCCGTGTCTACAGCTTCATCGGCCTCTGCTGGCTGCTGGCCACGTTGCTGGGAATGCTGCCTTTGCTGGGCTGGAACTGCCTGTGCGCCTTTGACCGCTGCTCCAGCCTTCTGCCCCTCTACTCCAAGCGCTACATCCTCTTCTGCCTGGTGATCTTCGCCGGCGTCCTGGCTACCATCATGGGCCTCTACGGGGCCATCTTCCGCCTGGTGCAGGCCAGTGGGCAGAAGGCCCCACGCCCGGCTGCCCGCCGCAAGGCCCGCCGCCTGCTGAAGACGGTTCTGATGATCCTGCTGGCCTTCGTGGTGTGCTGGGGTCCGCTCTTCGGGCTGCTGCTGGCCGACGTCTTTGGCTCCAACCTCTGGGCCCAGGAGTACCTGCGGGGCATGGACTGGATCCTGGCCCTGGCTGTCCTCAACTCGGCAGTCAACCCCATCATCTACTCCTTCCGAAGCAGGGAGGTGTGCAGAGCCGTGCTGAGCTTCCTTTGCTGCGGGTGTCTCCGGCTGGGCGTGCGAGGTCCCGGGGACTGCCTAGCCCGGGCCGTCGAGGCTCACTCTGGAACTTCCACCACCGACAGCTCTCTGAGGCCGAGGGACAGCTTTCGGGGCTCCCGGTCACTCAGCTTTCGGATGCGGGAGCCCCTGTCCAGCATCTCCAGCGTGCGGAGCATCTGAGACTGCAGCCTTGCGTGCGGACGGTGCAGCCACCGGGTACGTGCCAGGCAGGCCCTCCTGGGGTGCAGGAAGCCGTGTACACGGAGCCTTGCTTGGATGGGGAGCGGAGAACGGGACAGGCCCCCGTGGTCTTCCCGGTGGCCTCTTGGGCCTTCTGACGCCAAATGGACTTCCCGTGGTCACTGTGGACAAGGAGGCAACTGCCCCACCTCCCTGTAGGAGCAGAGAGTGCCCTGGTGTGGGGGCGAGCGGGTTCCCCACACCCCCGCTTCTGTGTGATTCTTGGGAAGTCCCGGCCCCTCTCCGGGCCTCCGTAGGGCTGCCAGGCTGCAAGGGGTGGACTGTGGGATGCATGCCCTGGCAACATTGAAGTTCGATCATGGTATGTGATGTGGCAGCCTCTTATTCCCCGGTGTGTGCATGTGCGCGGACCGTGGCTCAGGGGGGCTGTGGATCTAGGGGCAGCTAGGTGTGTCTTGGCTAGAGAGGGCCACGGGCCAGCGCCCTGGAGGCGTGGCTGTGAGGGTGGAGGGTGTGCGTGTGTGAACAACCTCTGGGCGTTGCAGGAAGTGGGGGTAACAGTGACAGTTAACCCCACCTCTTCTTGTTCACTTCCCTTTTAGAAATGGCAGGGCCCCTGCACCGGCTCTGGCCTCTGCATCTTTTGGGAACCCAGTCTGGGGGCCGGCAGAGGCAGCCGCCTTGGCTTCCTGGCCTGGGGGATCTTCCCTCACGTCCCCTTCAGCACCAACGGCCTCAGCTTTCCCGGTCTGTAAAATGGTTTAATCACTGAAGCCGAAGCACAAGGTTGCCGGTTTGCACTCAGCACCAGCCACAGAGGCTGACGGCTGCGTGTCCCGTGAAACTCCAGTGGAGACGTGCCAGCTCCACACCATTCGGTACAGGAGACACCAGCCCCACAGGGCTACAGTGCAAGCAGAGAACTGAATTTCGCAGTGTAGGTTGTGTTGAATTTGAATCTGTTTGTATTTCGGTAGCCCCTTGGGGTGGGTAGCCGCAGTTTCAGTGCAGATGTGAATCCGGAAGCTTCCAGCACTTGCAGCTCAGAGACAGTTCTCGCCCACCTCCTCCCAGGACCAAGCCAGCCCCGTCCTGTCCAGTGTCTGGACAGAGGCAGTCAGAATCCACCGCACCCGCCTCCTGGGCTCAGGCAGCTCTGCTTTAAGTCATGATTTCTCCACTGCACGATGGGGAATGTGGTGTGTAGGGGCCATTTACCCACGAATACAGCAGCCATGAGGCACACGTGGCTATTAAAAATTCATGGAACTTGCTGGGCGTGGTGGCTCATGCCTGTAATCACAGCACTTTGGGAGGCTGAGACAGGAGGATTGCTTGAACGCAGGAGTTCGAGGCCAGCCTGGGCAACATGGTGAAACCACATCTCTACAGAAAAATCCTCCAAAATTAAAAAAAAATTAGCCGAGCATGGTGGTGCGCGCCTGTGGTTCCAGCTACTCGAGAGGCTGAGGTGGGAGGATCACTTGAGCCCAGGAGGTCGAGGCTGCAGGGAGCCGTGATCGTGCTACTGCCCTCCAGCCTAGGTGACAGAGACCCTGTCTCTAAAAAATAAAATAAAATAAAAAAGAAAGAAAATTCATTGAAATTAAATGAAATTTAGGCCGGGCGTGGTGGCTCACGCCTTTAATCCCAGCACTTTGGGAGGGCGAGGTGGGTGGATCACGAGGTCAGGAGTTCAAGACCAGCCTGGCCAAGATGGCGAAACCCTGTCTCTACTAAAAATACACAAAAATTAACTGGGCGCGGTGGCAGGCGCCTGTAATCCCAGCTACTCGGGAGGCTGAGGCAGGAGAATCGCTTGAACTCGGAGGGCGGAGGTTGCAGTAGGCCAAGATTGCGCCACTGCACTCCAGCCTAGGTGACAAAGTGAGACTCTGTCTCAAAAAACAAAACAAAAACAAAACCAAAAGAAAAAAAAAGAAATTAAATGAAAGTTAAAAATTTAGTCTGTCAGTGTATCGATTTGCTAGGGCAGCCATGACAGTCTCATAGATGGGGACGCTTGAAAAGCAGACATTTCTGCTGTCATAATTCTGGGAGCCGGAAGTCTGAGATGAAGGTGTGAGTAGGGCTGGGTCCTCCTGAGGCTGACGGGGATCTGCCCAGGCCTCTCCTAGGTCCTGCTGGTGGCATGCATCCTTGATGTTCCTTGGCTTAGAGAAGCGTCACCCCCATCTCTGCCTCCATCTCCACGAGGTGTCCTCCCTGGGTCTGTGTCCAAACTCCCCCAACTCCTTCAACCTTTTTTATTTTAAGAGACGAGGTTCTTAAGTTGCCCAGGCTGGTCTCAAACTCCTGGGCTCAAGTGATCCTCCCACCTCAGCCTTCTGACTAGCTGAGACTACAGGAGTCTACCACCAAGCCCGGCTCATTTTTCTATTTTTAAATTTATTTATTTATGTATTATTATTATTATTATTTGAGATGGACTCTCGCTCTGTCGCCCAGGCTGGAGTGCAGTGGCGCAATCTCAGCTCACCACAACCTCCACCTCCCGGGTTCAAGTGATTCTCCTGCCTCAGCCTCCCGAGGAGCTGGGATTACAGGCAGGTACCACCATGCCTGGCTAGTTTTTGTATTTTTAGTGGAGATGGGGTTTTGCCATGTTGGCCAGGCTGGTCTCGAACTCCTGACTCAGCTGATCTGCCTGCCTCAGCCTCCCAAAGTGCTGGGATTACAGGCGTGAGCACCACGCCCGGCCAATTTCCCCATTTTTCTAAGGCCACCAGCCATATGGGATTAAGGGCCCACCCTGCTCCAATATGACCTCATCTTAACTAATGCCATCTGCCACAACCCTATCTTCCAAATAACATCCTATGCTGAGGTCCTGGGGGTCATGATGTGATCATGTAGATTTTGAGGAGACAGTTCTTTATTTTCTTTTCTATTTTAGAGACAGGGTCTTGCTCTGTCGCCCAGGCTGGAGCGCAGTGGTGTGATCATAGCTCACTGCAGCCTTAGTCTCCCAGGCTCAAGTGATCCTTCTGCCTTGGGTTTCCGAGTAGCTGCAACTACAGGTGCACACCACTGCACCTGGCTAATTTTTATATTTTTTGTAGAGATGGGGCTGGGCGCCGTGGCTCACCCCTGTAATCCCAGCACTTTGGGAGGCCGAGGCAGGTGGATCACCTGAGGTCAGGAGTTTGAGACCAGCCTGGCCAACATGGTGAAACCCCGTCTCTGCTAAAAATACAAAAATAAGCCAGGTGTGGTGGTGCATGCCTGTAATCCCAGCTACTTGGGGGGCTGAGGCAGGAGAATCGCTTGAACCTGGGAGGCGGAGGTTGCAGTGAGCTGAGTTTGTGCCACTGCACTTCAGTCTGGGTGACACAGCAAGACTCCATCTCAAAAAAAAAAAAAAAAAAGAGGGACAGGGTCTTGCTATGTTTCCCAGACTGGTCTCGATCTCCTGGGCTCAAGTGATCATCCTGCCTCAGCCTCCCAAAGTGTTGGGACTACAGGCATGAGCTACTATGGCTGGCCAATTGCAGACAGATGGAACTGTGGCCGGCCATTTCACCAGTGAAGTCCCAAACACCCCTCTGCAGGCATGATGAGCCAGGGTAGTTCTTATCTTTTCCTGATTCCTGTTCTCTGAGTGTGTGGTGGGGACCACAGCAGGCAAGGTGGGGTGTTGGTGGAATTTGGAATGAGTGGAGTCTGGGCAGGCCCGGAGCTCTCTGTCTGCCTTCTGGTCCCATGTTGGCTGACCCTGTTGCCCCTTCTGCCCTGCTTTGGCTGAGCTGAATTATTTCTTGGTCCTTCCCATCTGGGGGCTTTTCGCTTAACCTTTGTTGCCCCTGATAGAGTGGCCTTGTTAGCACACACCTACCCTCATTCGTCACTCAACTTCTGCCTGCTCATTCTTTGTACCTTAGTTTTAGTGTCACCTCCTCCAGGAAACCTTCTTTGATTTCTCCTCCCTAGGTCTCCTCTAGGCTCCCACAGCTACCTGCATTCCCTGCATGACAGTTCTGCTTTTACTGGGCACAGCTTCCCCTCGTTCTTCACTTGACTGCCCCTGCTCATCTTTTGAGTTTCAGCTTAAGTGTCACCTCCTCCAGGAAGCCTCCCTGATTTCCTCTCCTCCCTAGGCCTCCTCTGGGCTTCCCCCAGCTGCCTGTGTGTCCTCTATCCCAGTTCCCATCGCCCCTGGTCACACAATCCATCTCCTCCTTCAGACTTCAAGCTCTGTGTTGGTGGATATTGTGACTTTGCCGGGGTCCTGGCTGTGTCCCCAGCACCCACCACACGGCCTGGCACACAGTAGGTGCTCAGTGATCCAGCAGCACGCTCAGAAACTCCCTTTCCAGCCGGGCGCAGCAGCCCACTCCTGTAATCTGCAGCTACTCGGGAGGCTGAGGCACAGGAATCGCTTGAACCCGGAAGGCGGAGGTTGCAGTGAGCTGAGATCGAGCCACTGCACTCCAGCTTGGTGACAGAGACTACATCTCAAAAATAAATAAATAAATAAATAAATAAATAAATAAACAGAATTATCACACGGTGCTAGAGGGGAGAGTGCTTGATTCTTCATCATTACATGTGAGGAAACAGAGGCTCTGAGAGGTGAAGCGACTTGCCTAAAGCCACACAGCTGGGAAACGGAGGAGTTGGGATTTGAGCCCAGGCTCTTAATCAGCACAAATGCCACTTCTCACTTGGGACAGAAAGGAAACCCTGACTCCTTAGGCAGCTGTACGGAGTCTGGGATGATAATGTGCTGAGAGCCAGAGCTACTGTCTGCTGCACCCTGGGGCTCAGTCTGCCCATCTGTACAAAGGGACATTCCTTAACTACTTCCAGCCCTGAGACACTGGGTTCTCAGGGTTGGCAGCTTAGAAAAAGACCAACATGGAACACCCAGAAATTAACTTTAAATTTCTGATGAGTAACAAATACTTTTTTAGTATAAGTATACCCCAAATATAAATAAAGATAAATATAAACAGCTGCCACCGATCCCTGCACAAACCACAGGCTCCAGACTACAAGTCCCACAACGCACTGCGGCCTCCCTTAGGAACTGACTATCATGACTTTTTATTTTTCATTCATTCATTCAAAAATGGTATAGGCCACCCGCCGTGCGCCAGGTCTTGTACTCGGTGCCGAGGATACATCATATGCACAAAACAGACAAAAGTCTTTGCCCTCGTGGAGTTTGACATCTACATCCTTGGGAGTCCTAAGTGATTTTTGTTTTTCTCAGCAATTTCTGCCAGGAAGACTACAATTCCCGTGACTCTTTGTGTTTGTTTGATGGGACTACAACTCCCAGAAGACCTAGCGCGCCAGAAGGCACTTCCTTTTCCCTTTAGTCCCAACTTCCTTCCAGGTCGGAAGGTTACGTCCTGTACGCACCTTTCGCCCCTCACCCCAATTCCCCCCACGCCAAAGACAGGGTTAAGATAGTGATATCGCGAAATAGTTTTTAAAAGCATTTTATTGCATTTTTGACTTGGAGTTTATGTGAAACCTCAGCAGTATTAGCCGAACAGCCTGCTGCACTCTCCGGGAGTCCCAGAGTGGGCCTACAACTCCCATGGGGCGCCTCGAGCGCCGGATGGACTACAATTCCTGACAGGCAGCGCGGCTGGCGGGGTGGTTCGCGGCGGTGCCCGCAGGACCTCAGTGCTAGTGCGGGCTGCCCGGCGCGGCGCCCGCAGGACCCCGGCGGCTACCCATGCCGAGGTGAGTCCGCGGGAGCTGCCGCCGCCGCCGTCCCGTCCCCGCTGCCGCCCCGCGCGGCCCCGCCGCCGGCCAGGATGCTGGAGGAAGCGGGCGAGGTGCTGGAGAACATGCTGAAGGCGTCGTGCCTGCCGCTTGGCTTCATCGTCTTCCTGCCCGCCGTGCTACTGCTGGTGGCGCCGCCGCTGCCCGCCGCCGACGCCGCGCACGAGTTCACCGTGTACCGCATGCAGCAGTACGATTTGCAGGGCCAGCCCTACGGTGCGTGTCCCCGGCCCACCCTCGGGGCTCCCCGGGCTTCCCGGCCACGCCACTCCGGCCCGGCCAGCCCCAGGCAGATCCCTAGCTCCAGCTTGGGCCGCCCGACCCATGCTCAGGCCCCAGGCGAGGCAGAGCCCTGACGCCCTGGACCCCCGGCTGCCCAGGAACCCCGGCTCTCCTTGCCCAGCGCCCAGGAAACCCCGGCGCTGGCTCCCACAGTCCCCGGCCTCTGCCCAGGGCTCCCTGTCCCAGAACTCGTGGCCGGGCCAAGCGTCTCGCGCACCTGGAGCACCAGGT